AGAAATGCCTAATATAAAAGTTAGAATTTGTGTATTCTTTTTTTGTTACAGAGGCATGTCATATATACTTAAATATTATACAGAAAAACTTTCAAAATTTTTTTTCATGTTGAAACAATTCAGGGAACATTTTTCTTAAATACAACAAAAGTTTGTAGAATCAGGATATACAAAAGGGGAGATAACAACAAACACCATGGAAGTCCAGGAAATCATCAGAGACTACTTTGAGAACCTATATTCAAATAAATTTGAAAATCTAAAGAAATGGACAGATTTCTAGATAATATGATCATCCAAAACTGAACAAAGAGGAAATTAATCACCTGAATAGATCTATAACATAAAATGAAATGAGAAGCAATAAGAGTCTCCCCAAAAGAAAAGTCCAGGACCTGATGCATTTCTGCTGAATTCTATCAGACCTTTAAAGAAGAAACTGATACCAAACCTCCTTAAACTGTTCCACGAAATAGAAAGGGAAGGAAAACCGCCACTTTTTCTGTTACACTTATCCCAAAACCAGGCAAAGACACCTCAAAAAGAAACTATAGGCCAATCTCCTTAAATGAACATTGATGCAAAATCCTCAACAAAATAATGGCAAACGAATTCAACAACACATCAAAAAAGATTATTCACCAACGACAAAGTAAGGCTTCATCCAGGATGCAGGGGTAATCAACATACGAAAAATCAATAAACGTAATAAACCCATTAAGAAGCAAGAAAAAACCACTTGACATCTCAATAGATGCAGAAAAGCCTTTTGATAAGATCCAACACCATTTCATATAAAAGCCTCTAAGAAACTAGGAATAGAAGGAAAGTACCTCAACATTATAAAGCTATATATGACAAACCTACAGCCAGCATTATACTTAACGGAAGAAAAACTGAAACACATTCCCTCTAAAATCAGGAACAGAAGGATGCCCACTATCTCCACTCCTATTCACATAGTACTGGAATTCCTAGCCAGAGCAAATTAGGCAAGAAGAAGGAATAAAAGGAATACAAATAGGTAAAGAAACTGTCAAAATATCCCTATTTGCAGACGACATGATCCTATACCTTAAAGACCCAAAAAACTCTACTCAGAAGCTTCTAGACAATCAATAGCTATAGCAAGGTAGCAGGATATAAAATCAACATAGAAAAATCATTAGCATTTCTATACACTAACAATGAACAAACTGAAAAAGAATGTATGAAAACAATTCCATTTTAGCCTCAAAAAATCAAAATACCTAGGTGTAAACCTAAAAAAAGGATGTGAATGACCTCTACAAGGAAAACTATAAACTTCTGAAGAAAGAGATTGAGGAAGACTATAGAAAGTGGAGAGATCTCCATGCTCATGGATTGGTAGAATCAACATAGTAAAAATGTCTATACTCCCAAAAGTAATCTACATGTTTTAATGCAATTCCCATCAAAATTCCATGACATTCATTAAAGAGATGAAAAATCTACCATGAAATTTATATGGAAACACAAGAGGCCACAATAGCCAAGGCAATACTCAGTCAAAAGAACAATGCTGGAGGTATCACATACCTGACTTCAAACTATATTACAAAGCAATAACAATAAAACAGCATGGTACTGGCACAAAACAGACATGAAGACCAGTGAACAGAATAGAGGACCAGATATGAAGCCACAACTATAACCAACTTGTCTTTGACAAAGGACTAAAAATATACGATGGAGAAATAGCAGCCTCTTCAACAAAAAACTGCTGGGAAAACTGGTTAGCAGTCTGCAAAAAACTGAAACTAGATCCATGTATATCACCCTATATTAACTCAAAATGGATCAAGGATCTTAATATCAGACCCCAAAATCTAAAGTTGATACAGGAAAGAGTAGGAAATACTCTGAGTTAGTAGGTATAGGTAAGAACTTTCTCAATGAAACCCCAGCAGCACAGCAACTAAGAGATAGCATAGATAAATGGGACCTCATAAAACTAAAAAGCTTCTGTTCATCAAAAGAAATGGTCTCTAAACTGAAGAGAACACCCCAGAGTGGGAGAAAATATTTGCCAACTATACATCAGACAAAGGACTGATAAACCAGAATATATAGGGAACTTAAAAAAACTAAATTCTCCCAAAACTAATGAACCAATAAAGAAATGGGCAAGTGAACTAAACAGAACTTTCTCAAAAGAAGAAATTCAAATGGCCAAAAAAACATGAAAAAATGCTCACCATCTCTAGCAATAAAGGAAATGCAAATTAAAACCACTAAGATTCCACTCACCCCTGTTAGAATAGCCATCATCAGCAACACCACCAACAACAGGTGTTGGAGGATGCGGGAAAAAGGAACCCTCTTACACTGTTGGTGGAATGTAAACTAGTACAACCACTCTGGAAAAAAATTTGGAGGCTACTTAAAAAGCTACATTGATCTACCATTTGATCCAGCAATACCACTCTTGGGGATATACCCAAAAGACTGTGACACAGGTTACTCCAGAGGCACCTGCACACCCATGTTTATTGCGGCACTATTCACAATAGCCAAGTTATGGAAACAGCCAAGATGCCCCACCACTGACGAATGGATTAAGAAAATGTGGTATCTATACACAATGGAATTTATGCAGCCATGAAGAAGAATGTATCATCTCGCTAAATGGATGGAATTGGAGAACATCATTCTGAGTGAGGTTAGCCTGGCCCAAAAGACCAAAAATCGTATGTTCTCCCTCATATGTGGACATTAGATCAAGGGCAAACACAACAAGGGATTGGACTTGAGCACATGATAAAAGCGAGAGCACACAAGGAGGGGTGAGGATAGGTAAGACACCTAAAAAATTAGCTAGCATTTGTTGCCCTTAACGCAGAGAAACTAAAGCAGATACCTTAAAAGCAACTGAGGCCAATAGGAAAAGGGGACCAGGAACTAGAGAAAAGGTGAGATCAAAAAGAATTAACCTAGAAGGTAACACACACGCACAGGAAATTAATGTGAGTCAACTCCCTGTATAGCTATCCTTATCTCAACTAGCAAAAACCCTTGTTCCTTCCTATTAGTGCTTATACTCTCTCTACAACAAAATTAGAAATAAGGGCAAAATAGTTTCTGCTGGGTATTGAGGCGGTGGGGGGGAGAGGAAGGGGGTGGGTGGTAAGGGAGGGGGTGGGGGCAGGGGGGAGAAATGACCCAAGCCTTGTATACACATATGAATAATAAAATAAAATAAAAAAAATAGAAAAAAAGAAAAGTTTACTATTAAGCTTATACTCTTTTTTTTGGCGGCACTGAGGTTTGAACTCAGGGCCTGTTTGCTAGGCAGGAATTCTACCACATGAGTCACTCTGCCAGCCCAAGCTTAGCATTTTCTTTTATTTGAAAAAAAATTCTCACCTTTAAATTTGCTTTTGCCAATTGCTGAGAACAATTTATAGCCTCCTTCCGAGATTCCCTGAGCTCATGTCTTAATTCTTCATTCCTTCCAGTAAGCTGATCAACTTGGGCTTTCAAATGTAGACTTGCATCAAAGATTCCTTCTGCATTCTTTGATTCTATGGCCTAGCATATTTACATTATATATTAAAATATACAGAGGAACAGTAAAATCACAGTAAAACAAAAATTTACTTTTAAATAAAATTTGCATTTAACTATTTATCTGTCTTCACTGTCATGAATAGTAACAAAATATGCTGTCAATTTATTTTTTATGAATTTAAATTTATAAAACTTCAGCTTACCTTATACTATCAAGTATAGTAATTACTTCATTGTAACAAGTAACATCTACTTAATTTTTTTCTTTTTTCTTTATTTATTTTCTACTTCATTTTAATAGGCTAGCAAACTAGAAAAATATCTGGATAGGAATGGCTAGGGTTCAAATATAAATCAGTCTCTTATTAGCTGGAAAAGTGACTTAAATACTTTTATCTTCATTACCTTGTCTCTACAGAAGTAGAAATAATATTAGCTCTGACCATTCAAAGAATTTTTACATAGTCAACATGAAGTAATGTATATGCAACAGCTTTGAAACTGTACAGCATCAGAATCAACAGCATGAGCAAAGTATCGAGTGTCTTTGACATTCAGTTAATTGTATTTTTCAGTGCTTCCTCTCCACATAGCTGAACCATATATAACAAAGATCAAATATGATGATAAGGTATGATTCAAGAATAATGAATGAACAAAAAATATATCAAATATTAAATATTACAAAAGTGGCTTCCCTGGTCCTAATTCTCCAACAATAGCATACATAAAGATAAACACTCCATTGTGTACTTACCTACGTAATATATGTAATATACATATACATATAAACGTCTTTGGCTTTTGAAAAACTACATGGAATAAAAGTAGCTGTTCAATGCAAAATAAACTTTCAGAATTGAAGACAGAAGACAAAGTAAAACCAAATACAATCTACTCTAGCGGTGATGTGGGATTTAACGCTAGGCAGTCGAAATGTACAAGTAAGCCTTTACCTGAAGGACACTCGGACAGACCACGCAAAGCAGCATGTTACAAATGAAATACTAGGAAGACATAGGAGGTAGTGGAAGGTACTCTGACTGACACCAAGTTAGTCTAGTAAACTGTCTTACTGAAGAATGGTAACATGTTGTCTACATGGCCTTTTGGTAAAATGAAATTGAATTAGATGGTGGTTTGAGACACTGGAAAATATCCTATAGTAATAGAAAGTGAACTGAAGTATATGAACTAGAGTGATCTGATTTAAGGAATCATGGGTTCTGAAGATTTCTTAAAGGAAGTATTGGTAGGCCAGTATGAATTTCAGATAGCATAGTATTAGAAAAAAGAATTGCAACCCAGGATAGAACTCTACAGAAGCAATGATCTGGGTAAGGCCCAGAGATTGTCAAAAGAAAGAGAAGGTAGAATTTCTTAGGACTATTTATTTTGGTTTATTTTGGTTTTTTTTAGATGTGATATTTTCTGTAAATATTTATTCATTTTTATTTTTTTATTCGTATGTGTATACAATTTAATTTGACAAAATAGAATTTCCCTTGAAGAATGAAGTTTGATCAGGAACACAGGATTAGTAATAAGTACTGACACTTCGGCTTTAGCATTATAGAAAAAAGATGTTCACATCAAAAAGCATAAAGAATCATTCAAAATAGCAGAGGCAAAACAAAGTCACCAGTCAGAGCAGGAGAGTCAGAATCAGAAAGATATACAGGGAATAAAATGGTTCACATAAATTTTGTCAAATAATTTTCTGGCCACTAGAAGCTTCTAAGATTCCAGTGTCACTCTCCCTCTTTGCTAATAATTATAGTGTTATAAAATAGATGCTACTACTTACTATGATTTGAAAAAGCAATCCAATGAATAAGAACTTTTCTATTTAATTTTTCTACTTAAACCAAGCAATAATTTGGGAAACAGTTTAATAATGTACATAACATACTTAAGCATCTAAAAATATGTATTGTATCCAAGCTTAAGTAAGTGGATTTTGGAGTGCCTTGAAGACAGGCCTGGAAGACAGGACTATCAAGGCTTGAGTCTGCCATTTTTATGCCTTTACTCTAAAGTCTGCAGTTGTAGTTACCTATGATTTTTCCAGCCTATAAAATGCAAAGGACAGAGTCCAAAGCCATAGGAATTAATAGAAAATCCCACTGAGAAGAAAGCCAGCAAAAAAGAGCTCCAAATTCTATGTAAAAAAAACTCATCTTTGTCTCAGGCTGACCCGTGAACCAGAATAGTGATGATAGGAAAAAGTGAGAATAAACTTTAAGATATGGCAATAGCAATTATCTAATTGGAAGAAGAAAACAAAAGATAAGGGCAAAAATGAGCAGTGCCTAAGACTGTGAGATGATATCCAAATACATATGTCATAATAAGGCTAAAAATAATTGAAGTCACAATGGTGGAAACATCGCAGTCCTAGAGAATAGCGTAAGTAAACAGGTTCAAGATGTTCAACAAAATCCTAAACCAGATACACAAAACATTCCCAAGCACGTGCACACACATACACAGGTGCTCACCCTTGACACATTATAGACAAACTAGTGAAGACCAACTCTAAAAGAGGAGGTATTAAAAGTTCAAATGACTGTAAATATATTTTATCAGAAACCATGGAGACCAGTATGTAGTAGAACATTATCTCGTATCTTTAAAGGAGGGGAAGAGTGGTTGAGGATGGACATAAACATGAAAAAGTAACTTACATTAACCAGTCTTTCAAGACTAGGGATAATTAGAGATGTTTCTCCTCCTTTGATATCATCAGGATCCTTCTGCATCTCCTTAATAGCTTGTAATATTTCTTTCATGCCTTCTTCAAGCTGCTTATTTTCTTCACTACCTCTTTTACTGTAATTAATTCTTTTCTCATTTAATGAACAGATCTCTTCACAATATGTATTATTCCGTACACATAACAAATATTCCATAGATAGAAAACATACGTATTGTGAAAATACAAATATAAATCAACAAAAAATTCAATTATAAACCAACATGAATAGGTGAGTTAAAGGAAGATCTATTTAAATCAGATATATATGTTATAGCTGAAGAAAGAAATCACAAGCAAACTTGTTCATTAACTTAAACTATGCTTTATGTTAAAACTCTTTTAAATTCAGTTTTCTAACTTCACTTTGATTAGAGAACATAATAAACTAGACAACTTTATTAAAAAAATCAGAATATTATTCCCTGACAATAAAAATAGCAAGACAAACCAACTGAATGAGTGACAGACACTGAGTTATATACCTTATAAAAGATAATTTAAAAGCCAATTTAATAAGAGATTGTATTAAGATCTTTTCAGATTCCAAATATTTAGTATAGAAAAAAGAGAGAAAAGTAAGAGATAATAGGAACTTACATTTATTCTGAAATTTAGATATTACTGTCTTACTTCTTTCTAAATCTCTTTCCTTTTCAATTAGTTCTCTTGAAAGAAATTCATTCTAAACAAAACAAAGAGAATTAAAATTGATGTTTTATAAAGTATCACAATAGTCTATACGTTTCAAGTTTAAAAAAAAACAAAGTTTGATCCATTAAGTATAACACACTAGAAAACGGGATACAGAGACATCACAGTATTTATAAAAATAAAGTATACAGAACAAAACAGATGAAGCTCTTCCTGCCACCTATGCCTCCCTCAACCCCCAAAACAAAAAGCAAAGAGATACAATGAAGATTTCTACCTTCAATACCATAATCATTTCTCTGAATAGCCTGTGTTTACACTACCTGTTCTGCCTGGCTTTTATGACGTTCAAGCTCTATTTCTGCATTTCTACTCTGTGCTTCTTTGATCGATAAATCCTGTGCTATGACTTCATTCTAAAGAAACACTGAATATATTAGGCAAGTCAACAAATCCATAACAAATGTATTACATTTGTAGATTTTTCAATAGACTAGAATGTTTATAGATTAGTCTTAACATGCAAATAAAAAGAAATATTGTTACAGAACTTTATATTAGAGAAGCCATAAAAAAATGATCCCAGGAATATAATTTGGAGGAAAGCTCACCTGAGATCTAAGAAATACTAGTTCTCTCCGTAGCTGTTCTATAAGATTTTCAACTGGATCTATCTGAGATAATTTTAATTGTGCAGTAATAGGCACAGGATCTGAAAGATTAACTTCAAGCTTGCTTTTCGAAATCTTGGTCTGTAAAGGTACTTCACTTTTTCTTTTATCTTCCTTCAAACTAAGATCAGCACACTTGATTTGAGATTGACCCTGGTCATCTTCTGATGCTGCTACTTGTAATTTATTCATGTCAGCACTATGATCATGAATTTGTTGACAAAATACTGCAGATTTTTGCCTAAGTGATAACTTCTGCATTAAGTCTGAAGCTGTTGGTGAGGCTTGAAAAGATGAATTGTTTTTTTGTATGGAACTAGTCTTTTCTATTGTTTGATGGCTTCCTGATAATTTCTTCATACAGTCATCAGAAAGAGAGCATAAGTAGTCATTTATATCTTCATTATTCTCCCTACTAAAAGTACTGACTAATGATTCTAGATTTCTTAAAGATTGTAGACATGGTGCTTTAAATATCTCTCTTATTGTAATGGTTTCTGGAGTTGAATCGTTATCTTTTACTTGCATAGTTGAAGAATGCCTAGTTAAAGACACAAAAGGATCCAGTCCACTTTCTACACTATGATGAGTTTCAGATAACATTCTTGATAATGATTGTTCAGTCATATTGTCCTCTGTCTCATTCTGGTCTGACTGGAGTGCACTGAATGGTGTTCTCCTATGCAGCAGCTCTATTTTATCTGAACTCTTAATCTGTATTCAGAGTAAATAATGTTTCATTAATCAATCTTAGGATCAAACAGGTTATTTAAGTAAGAAAACATTTTTCTTTACTTATTTAACAACCATAAAAGAGCAGATATCTAAAATGAGATAATGGGGAAAGAAATGAAAGCACTGATAATATTTTCCTTCATTATCTTTGCCATAAAAATACTATTTACCTTTGATTGTGCTTCACTCATGCTTTTGAAGCTCATAAAATTCAGTTCTCTCCCTCTATCTCCTTGAGAAAAGTTTTCAGTTAGGTTCAGGTCTTCAATGGGTAATCCTGCAATGTGAAAGAATTAACAAATTAAAAACATAAAAATAAATCTCCTTTATTCCAATGCCTTAATTCTTTACAATCAGAATCAAGTTTCAACTCAAATAAAAGGTGCAATGTTTCCAAAATCCTTGAACATGTACCAGTATGATCTTCTGAAATAGCTTACTTTTAATAAGGAATTAATAATAAGAACAACTCTGTGCTTTAAGAATTAATTAAGGAGTACTAAAATAGTGAAAATAAAGTCAGGAATTATAAGTACACAATGATTATACCAATAAATTATGGTGTTTCACTTCTCTAGAAAATTTTTCAAGCATTAAAGAAATCATAATGCCAAAAACAATAATGCTCTATTACTCATAAATGTTCTAGTAGATTTGGACCAAGTCTTAAAAAAATTTCCTGTTTATGGTCCTCTAACAAATAAGCACTGCAATGGCTATAGAGCTTAACCAAGTAGTCTCATTGTACCGCGTAAGATAAACAAATAAAAAAATGACATTTAAATTCAATCACACATTATCTTTACTTAGTAAAGGTTTTCAATGCACAGCTCTTAAGGAAAGGAACATATTAAGAGTAACATACATTAACATAAAAATTAGTAAGCTTAATCATTATTAATCTCAACATATTAGAACTTACCAGAAATTAAGAGACTAAACTATAAACTTTTCAAAAATCCATGATTCTAAAGTTTGTTTTTTGGTTTTTTTAAAAACCTGTTTTAGATTCAGGATTAAACCTAATTACATTCAATTATCTTTTCTGTAGGTCATTATTTTCTCTTATTATACTCGTAACAGAACCACAGTAATATAGACAACAGATCTTAAAATACATAAAAATTCAGATCCAGATAACTCATTTCCAATAACTCTTTTAAAGGTATGGAATAACTGGGTATACCTAAAGTTGCATTTCTTTTTCCTCTTTCTTGAGCCATTTGACGAATTTTTCTTTTTAGATCAAGTCGTTCTTCTTCCAAAGTTTCAATCTGAAAAGTATGAATTGTTAGTAGTTCTCTTTAGTTCAACCAAGAAAATAATCAATTGAGCACCACACTTGCCTCTTTCAAAAGAATCTGATTTTCAGCTCTGTACTGCTGCTGTTTTAAGCGTTTACTATTTCTAAATTCAGTTAAATCAATCATTGTCTTCAGTTCAAGGCCTAAAATAAAAAGCAACACAATTAAAAACATGAAAATAAACTGCAAAATCTTTATATACTGTCAAGAAACTGTTTGCAATTCATTTAGCCAATATTGAAGAACAGAGTACTTTTTACGCAGTAATTTTCCAGATACTGGTACTTTAACACACTATTAGTATAGAAATCCTGACAAAAACCTATGAGAGTCTGCTTTCTGCCTATCAGGTGATTGTAAAGGTATTTACTATAATACAGTAATTAAGAAAAGAAGCTTTGAAATAGACTTGGGTTTAATTCCCACTTCCAACTTGTAGCTAAGTCAGAAGTACAATACTGTTATTTTAAAATCTATTTTGGCATATTCAGAGTAAAAATAAATTGACCTAAATATAGTACTTAGTGGAGTGCCTGGCATATAGGAGTTAATGTCAAAAATCAGTGGGAATTATATTAGCATTACTAGTCTGATGCTCCCAGTATGCCTTTCTTCTAATTTGCTATTACCAAGCAACTCAGCTCTGAAGACTGAATATCAAGATGGTCTAAAATAATTACCGAGACTTTGGCAAATATCCACCAGCCTTTTAAACACAGAAAATATGGTATTTGTGACATATTTCAAGACTGGTCAGAAGTCATCTTTAGGAATTTCCAGACTGACTAGTCAAATTAATCAGAAGTCCAACTTGAGGTCCTAGCACAATTCTAGGTTGAGGTTGACGCTACTCACAAGTAATCTATATAAAATATTTATATTCCTTCCTCTAGAGAAAAATTTTTACAAATGGCCATTTTATCTCTGAGAAAGCATTAAACAGACCATTTTTGGAGGGGTTAAAAAAAGGTTAACATCTAATATGTGGTATTAATATAATGGACTTTCATGTTTTAAACAAAGTTATTACTAAGGAAATAGAATAAAGAAAGCACTGCTCCAGGTCTGCCCACCCACTATACCAAACCCATGAAATCCCCAGGCCCACTTCAATCAGAACAGCTCCACTTGTGTTTTAAATGTTTTTATGGAAATATTTGAAAGAAAGAGCATTCAACTACTTAAAATTAATAATAATAAACAAACCAAGGGGGTATAGCTCAGTTGCAAAGTGTTGGCCCAATGTGTACAAGGCCCTGGGTTTAATCCCTAGCACAATAAAATAAATAATAAATAAATAAATCAAAAGTAAACAAGATAACATGAAAACCAGGATTGAGAAAACTATCTTAAAAGATGGCTTACCCGCACGCTCTCGAAGTGCTTCGTTTTCATCAAGGAAATCACTGATTTTCAACTCAAGTTTATTGATTTCCTTGGTTAATACTTCAATTTCTCGATCTCTTATTTTAATCTGGTTTTTACAATTCTTTATTTCAACAACAGCATCTTCTAAACCATATATGCCCTGAAAAATACCCAACCTAATTTTAATATCATGGTTTATTTGAATAAATAAGCAAAATTCATTAATTTACTTTTTCATTAAGTCTAAGGGGAAATGTGCATATACCTATAATTTAGAGACAGAAATATTCAAGGTTTTTTTAAAATTAAAAAAATTTTTAACCTGATACGTAAAAACAAAAATGGTACATATTTGTCCGGGGTTTTATTGTGCTTTTATATAAACAAAACCTAGTAATAATAATAATAATAATAGAATACGGAACAGTTGAAACTTCCCAACAATATCCTAATAGCAAAATGACTAAGACTGTTATATGTAAATGCTTAAACTAATAGAAAAAAATTAAAACTGATTCAGAAATACCAGCAGAATATGTAAGTAATTTGTTTTCTAATTATAATAGAAAATATAAAAAATATAAAGTAGGCTTCATTGACACAGTAGGTGACAACAACAAACCTATCACAAGTTTTATCAAGCCAGTCAGTGGTGTCACATCTACATATGGTGGCACAATGGACACAGATAAGGAAGAATATAATCCTGCTGCTTCACGAAAGCTGCTTTCCTGGGCAAAATGCTTTGATCAAAAGGTTTAAAAATAATTCTCCTGACAAGAAATAAATGCTCCAAAGTTTAAATAATTTAATATAAATTAATTAGGATATCATTTATAAAGAGATTATGGAATGTTTTTTAAATGGAATGCAAAAATGACACAGAATAGTCTGTAAGTGGCAAGAATAATTTTAAGCTCCTTGACCAACAAGACAAAACTACATACTGATTCATAATCTTTTAATCTCTTCAGAGCCTCAACCAAGTCTTTATCCTTTTCCCTAGCATCAGCCTCAGCCAGTTCAGCTGTTCTCTCAGCCTCTTTAGTTTTCTCTTCTAAAACTTGGACCTTGGATTGAATTTTCATATAATGAGTCTGTTGACAAAGAGCTGAAGCACCTACAGGGTAAAAACAAAAAAACATGAACTAATTATAAATGACTAATCATTCCTTTAAATCAATGAATCCACTGTAGGGGCAGGAGAGGTGGTATACAGCACTACAAAAGCTCCATTCATATGGAATTTTTATGTCTATCAAATAGAAATGTTATTTTGGCTTATTTAATATAATTAAAGGTTCAGTACAATAATCTTAACTAAAAGTATATGAATTATAAAAGGTTGCAAAAACTACTTCAGAAAGACTATCATGAGAGATAGATTATTAGCTGGTCATAATATTCAGCCCCTTTTGATCTACATAATCAAATTACAGATTTTAACTTGGTAAATGGGCATTTAAAATAAAAACTTCATTTCTACTTTTACTCCAGCAGCTAGATGTGGTCATGTAACTAACGGATATAAATATAAAGGTCTTATGTGAATTACAGGAAATATTTTAAAGAAGTATTAATCTTTTTTCACTTTCTCCTTCCTGCTACCTGGAATATGGACATGAATGCCAGAATTCACTCTTCTTAGAATGAATACAAGATGAAAACCATGTTGAGGTAGACAGAACAATAAAACACAGCGCCCTGATATCTGATATTTGTGCAGGTGCCATATCAACATTGAATTAAATTGTTTCAACTTTTGTTTATATCATACAGAGATAAGTTTTTATCTTGTTTAAACCTTGTTCTAAGCTTTATTTTTCTGTATTAGCAGCTAAACTTAGCTAAAATTTTTTTTCTAAATCCCTATTTTTATTACCTTACTAAATTACTGCTAGACCAAAATATACCTATCATTCTAAAAATTTATTGATACACATCATTCTTATACTCATTCACAATAAACATTTACTAATATATTTATATTGGACTTACATTACGCATTGGGCTTAGGACAGTAGATCTGTAGAGCCAACAATTTAGCTGCAAAAGAGGTTGAGATGCCAACCAATATCTATTTTCCCTTCCCTCTACATAGCCTTCCACAATAAACACTGTCTTTTCCCACAAATCCTTCAGCATGTACTTTTTGCCTCTTGTTCCCTCTAACTCTACCTTGGTGTTTGGGATATATACATAAGGATAAAGCTCCATAATAGATGGAACAGACTGCTTAATTTTAGATGATTATACAAGTGAGAAATAAACTTTTGTCTTATTTATATCATTGTTGTCCAGATTTCTGTTTTAAGAACTAAAGCAGCTAATCTTAACTAATGAAATAAGGATACCATAAGCCATCATTGTTTACAAATTAAGAAACATAGAGTATGGTCTCGTATACACATCTTCTGTGAGCTTTAGAGACTTATGTAACTAGACTGAAGTGTCATTAGATAAGAACTCTTCCATATTTGGATATTTAAAATTCATAGTTCATATATTCTATTAAAGGAGTATAAACAACTGTAAAATATACTAATATAAACACAATACACACATATAGAAATATGTACATCAAGTGGGTTCTTGACACTACTCAACAGTCATATTTCCCAAATCTTCATTCTTCTACTCTCTCTCCTCAAAATTGTAATACATCTTCCTCTATCACTTTCAGATGAGAACTGTACTGCATTACTTTTCTCATCACTGTGACAAAATACCTGACAGAAACAACCTAAGAGAGGAAGGATTTATTTTGACTCATGGTTTCTGAAATTTTAGCCCACAGTTCTTGAGTCTGTTTGATTCTGGACCCATGGTAAGACAGAGTATCTTGGCAGCAGAAGCATGTGGCAGAAAAGGCTGTTCCTCTCAGGATAGACAGGAGAAAGACAGATCATAAAGGACTGGGGACAAATATATAGCCTTCAAACCCCAGTCACCTACTTCCTCTATATAAGCCATACTTCCAAACTTTCCACTACCTCCCAAAATGTACCACCAGCTAGGGACCATGCATTCAACACATAAGTCCATGGAGGACATTTCATATTCAAACCACAACACTTGCTTCTACAAGTTCCCACCACTTGAATGTCTACCTAGCCACTTACAACTGTGACTACACATACTACCTTTCTTTGTCTAATTATGGGTATACTTCTGTGTTCCTAGTTAAGGCCAATTTCTTTACTGGTAGACTACAGTATCCCATCCCATTGCTTTCTCAAGGATTTTGCTCCACAAGTTCTCTCTCTGCTTTGCTTCCTCAATTACTTCTTTTTAATGGAGTTCTCCCATTAACCTATAAGCATGAGTTATTTCTTCCATCTTAAGACCAATTTCTTAACCTTTTTTTTTGTCCTCAGCCTACCATCTCAGACTTCTCCCCTTCATAGGAACAGTTCAGAAGATTTTCTACATTTCTTCTATTTCCCTTCTGATTTCTCTTGGACCACTGCTAATTCTAATGATCATTTTTGGTGCTATCTTGACACTTCAGCAGAAATTAACTCAGCTCTAAATGTAGTTGTTTAATTTTCCGTGATGACATTTCAGGGCTCTTCATGTACCTAGTATTCCTCCCATTTCTTTAGCATTCTGTTTCAGTCACCCTAATGTTCAGATCAAAAGTTCTAATAACTTTCTCTCGCATCCTCCATCTAATTTGTCAGCAAATTCCATTTCTATCATCTTCAAAATATATTCAAAAACTGACTACATCTAATAATATCACTGCTAACAACAGGCTGCAAATCACCATCACCTTTCTCCATATTATTTCAATAATCTTCTACGTACCCTTCCTAATTCTTTTATTATCATACCTACAATCTACTGTAGATACAGCCTAAGTCAAATTGTATTCCTTCTATCTTCAGAAACTCTGGTATTCCTTTTCCCACAAAATAGAAGTTAAATGTACTTAAAATGAACTCTGAGGCTCTGGTAACCTCTCTAATCTTATTTTCAACTACTGTCCCACAGCTCACTCTACTCCAGTCACCAAGACTTCTTTGTTGATCCTCGAGTATTTGTGATATAGTCTTGTTTTAGTGCTTTTGAACTTACTCCCTGTGCTTGAGGTCATCTACATGGCTCACTCCCTTACTCTCTTTAAGTCTTTGTTCAATTATCCCTTTAGCAAGACTTTTGCTTCACTACATTGTATCTTCATTACAATCTTACAAACTCACCTATTCGTGACTTATTTTTATTATCATCATCAATTATAATAAATATGACCAGGAATTTATCATGAACAGTTTGTACTAGCATGCCTTGGTATACTATAATACAAACTGCATGGAAAGGTAAGAGCCATACAATAGCCCTGATGTTGTGAAGGCTTATATTCAGAGGATCTGATGTGTTAGGCAAGGTGGTATGACTTAGTGTAAAGACAATGTAATGAGACATTGATAAAGATAAGATTAACTAAAATGCTGACATGTTAAATTACTTCTAAATTATCTGCAAAGCTGATACACTAATCAAAATTTTATACAACCAATGTAGTAATAGTGTTTAATGTAATTTTTATCAGAGGGAAAATGACAAAAAATAAATCATTTACAAACTTAAGCAGTAGTAATATATGTATAATAATAAAGGTCTTGTAGATATTTTTGAAAATAAGTTAAAAATCAAATGGAGAACACTTAATATAGCTATTGACATGACAACTTAAATTAAAAACACTTTTAATGCATAACGGCATAAGAAAATAACTTTATATACTTATAAAATATAGAGTTACCTTTGTTTCTCTGAAGCTCATTTTTCAAATCTTCAATAATGAAAGTATTTTTTTCCATTTCTTTTGTATATTGTTCTACTTGTTCAGTGAGCACCTTAATTTGACCATCTCGTTCTTGTATGCCCTATAAAAGATTTAAAATTTTACAAATCCTTTTATGAACATGAACAAATATTTTAAAGGTAATGAAAAAGGTAGGTCTTATTTTTATCAACAGTACTATAAGATGTATTTTACTGAGGGTAAACTATATTTCTATTAATATAAGTGTACTTCAACTGCACTTAAAGATAGGCAGAATGGCAAATAGGAATTCCAGAGCACCTTAACATTTGTGGTTGCTTGTAACTCCTTACATATTATGTTTCCCCATCATCCATCCAATTCTGTCTTTTTACCATTTTGTAAGCTTATGTTTTTCCCTATGCCTTCTCCGTTACTCAACTTACCCACTCTACTTCTAGTACTTCATTCAGAATTTGAATTACTGTCCCCTATAAAAATTATTCTGATTCTCCAAATACTTCTCAAGTTTCATTCTTTCTTTTGGACTATGAGTAGAAAGAACATAAGATAATAAAAGTGTGGCTTCTTTCTAAATTAACATTTTCACTAAAAATAAAATTTTTCAGGACATATCCAAATTACAACCACACTTTTAATTTTACACTAGGTAAGGTATGACAGGACTAAAATATAACAAATCTAATAACAGGAGAGTAAGATATTTTAAAAGCTAAAAGTTTTTTTAAGTTTTTTATTGAACAATCCCTGACCAAAACAATTCACATATTATTCATATCAATACAAAAAACAAACAAAATAATTCTATTCCTGACACTAACCTTCACCTACTCTTAATTCTATTTTTTTTCCCTTGGGACTGGTATAAGAAATTTCAAAAGACTTTTATTATATACCCAGCAGTAGAAGCAACTAAACTAGGCACAAGTGATATAATAAGAGAGTTCAGACTTCCAATCTTAATAAAATATGCTGATAAGAGAGAATTCTAAGGAGGTTTTACCTGTTTTAGAGCCATAATGTTACTTTTATCAGCATCAAGCTGGGCATTTTTAAGTTTCTCCCTCAGATTATGTACCATTTGCTGATATTCAATAATTTCATCATCTTTAGAAGATAAAATTAGCTAGAAACAAACAAAATAAGATCTGTTACACAAAAGAAAAATAAAACATTCCTCATTTATGATAGGTGATATAAACCCATTAATACATTTAAGAATACAGGAACTAAAATTCTTTGAACTAGAAAAGTATTAGGAATTACCAGTAAAACTTTTGTTCTTTTTGTACCTACAACTTGAAATTTAAATATAAGAAATGATTCAAAAATAGATACTATAATTTTCATGTTTTTAGAATTCAATGTTTAAAAAAAATCAAACTCTCAAAACTCATTTCTTAAAAAACTGTAAGTATCTCCATACAACCAAAAGGTTTAATACAAGTGACGTTTATGAAATGAACACTAAAATGCCACTGAGAGGCATATATTTTAAATGAATGAAAATTACTTTGTGTTCTTCGATAGAGTGATCAAATATCATAAAGATGTTTTTCCTAAACTGATCAATAAATCAATTTATTACTTTAACTTATACACAATAAAATAACAAGATTTTTTAAAAGAATTGGATGAGTTATTTTTAAAATTCATGTGAAAATATTTTATAAGAAGCTGGACATGGTGGTGGACATCTATAATTCCAGCTGTTGGAAGGTGAAGGCAGGAGGATTCCAAGTTTGAGGCCAGTCTGGGCTACCTAACAAAACCTTGATTCAAAACAAAAATTTCAGAAAAGCATAAAAAACAAAAAATGAGAATGGCTTTTTGGATATTTAGGCATGTGATAGTAAGAGGAAGTCCAAAGATAAATTCAACTTCAATAGAATTTATGCATATAATAAAAATGGAACTGTATTTTATAATGAGAAAGATGAAACATGAAAAGAATGGTGCCTGAAAAACAGAGTAACTCTGCTGCCATTACATTCTTTACCAAATGAACTATACAGTCTTCATATTTAAATGTAAAAGATGAAATCAGAGATACTAGAAAAATAGAGAAAATAAGTTTAAGCAAGTTTTTATTAAGCCTTTTTAAAATCTGAGACAGCATCTTGCTATGTAGCCTAGTCTGACCTCAAACTCGTGATCCTCAGCCTCCCAGATGCTGGGATTACAGGCATATGCCACCATACCTGGAAACAAGAAGCCTTTCTAATTATAAGATAAAGGTCAGAGGCCATTAAAAATAATAAATGTAACTATGTAATATAAAAATATTTCATATCAAAAAATATCAGAGAGCATAAAGATGTGACAAACTAGAGGAATGTATTTGTACTTTAGATCACAATTACATTATACCTGTGGCAATTAATTTTATCAATGTACTTGTATATTTGCAAAGCAACATATATACAGGGATATTAATTAAAACTTGAGAGAAAAAATGGGACCCTCTCAAATGTCACAAATAGGAAATCAATTAGCAAGTAATAACCGTATCTGCAAAAAACATTACACGGCATCAAAAAGAACAAAGTATACTATATGTACAGAGATTAAATAGTTTCTAAAAGATATTAGGTCAAAACAAAGTACATATAACATGTTATCATTTTCCCATCAAAAAATTGAATGTGGAGAGAACTATTTTTCCCAAGGGTTGTTGGTAAGGTACAGTCCACATGTGAAGAAATGTGGCCTGCCACTTGATTTTGCAAAGTTTTACTGGAAAAGCGCTTTGCTCATTCATTTTTGACAATATGACTATTTTCATATTAAAACAGCAAGCTGAGTGCCAGTGGCTCACACCTGTAATCATAGCTACTCAGGAGGCACAGATAAGGAGGATCCAACCTGGGCAAATAGTTCACGAGACTCTATCTTGAAAATTACCAACACAAAAAAGTGCTGTCAGAGAGGCTCAAGTGGTAGAGCACTTGCCTAGCAAGCATAAGGCCATAAGTTCAAACCCGGTACCACAAAACAAAACAAAAAAAAAAAGAACTTTACTTCATATTAAAGCAGCAGAGTCGAGTAGTTTACAATAAATAGTAGACAGACTAAAATATGTACATAAAATTTACTGACTGCTAATGGACTCCTTCAGTCTATTTCTACTGCTACTGCTTATGTTTAAAATATAGATATCTGAGTTTCCCAGATGATAACCAATTCCAAATCCCCCAAAAGATTTATGTGAACACAGCTAGAAGCCATGGCAGCTTTTAAAATAACTCAGTAACCTCAGATATTTTTTCAAATATACAACCATCATAACCCCAGCTTCTGATATAAGGCTATGGAACTGGTAGAGGTTGGAGTGTGGTAAGGAGGAAGGCAGTATATTTTGAAAGGATTCCCAAGTGATTTTGACCGAAGTCTTTCCTTACTCCCATTGCTGATTAATCTTGACTTGAATAAACTCATCAATGACAACTGACCTAGACGACTACATAGGACAGTATTAGACTTTTTCTAGTTAAGCTAAATAATAAACATAATAATAATAATGTAATTAAACAGCCTGTTCTTTAAACAAAATAAGAATAAAATTTAAATCTAAAATATAAAATGAAAAAGTTACAGTATCAATTGAGAAAAGCACCTTCCATTCTTCTACTTTTGCATTGACAGCTACCATGACTGGATCATCTTCTTCATTTTTTGATTTCAGAAGATCTGTAAGTTCTTGAACCTAAAAGTCAACAATTATTATAAGAATTGGTGCAAACTGGTATAATGTTACATATTTACATATACATGTACATATATTTAAAGATGCATATTCCATATGCCATTTTAGTACTATAGTTAAAGGTGACATTTAATGGCTTCTGCATGTTTATACGGGCTGAGTAACACTAATCCCCAAATCTGAAATCCAAAATGCTCAAAAATTGTGGACTTTTTGGTGCTGACAAGACACAATAAGTGGAAAATTCCATGCTACATAGCATATGACAGGTCTCAGTTGAAGGGCACGCATACTAAAAATATTATATAAAATTATCTACCAGCTATACATAATCAGGTATATATGAAACATAAATGACTTTAGTGTTTAGACTTGGATCTTATCCTCAATATACCTACTTATGGATATGTGAACATTCCAAATTATGAAAAATATTCATAATCCAAACATTTCTGGTCCCAAGCATTTCAGATAGGCATACTGAACCTGTAGTTGCATAATTACTTTCATTATCAGAGAATTATAATTTTAAACATTATTCTATATTTTAAGCAAATTTAATCCCACATATATAGTAAACAATCCCACAAAAATATTAGAAACAATAGTTTCAAATATTTTATAGTATATTTATTTTAAGATCTAAAGTTAAATGTTACCCAACAGGACTTTTTTTAAGATTACAAAATATATTTAATTACAACTTGTTGTTCTGATATAATTTGATTTTATATTGTATATAGCTGTCAAAAGTCATTTTCTTTTCATAATGCAATGAATCAAATTATGTTAGATGGAAAATTATCATAAGATTTTTTTGGTGTTTATAAATCATGCATACAATAAAAGCACTCAACATTACTTCAAATGGCATATTTAATTATGCCAGTACATCAGCAATATAATATGATGTTCTGAAGAACTGAAGTGACAAAGAAGAGTAATTGTGGCTTACAGATTTCCATTCTATGAGCCTGGTTTTTTGTGTTTTTAATGAAATTTTACCTTCTAAAATAAACTTGGCAAAATTAGAGCAGTAAATCAAAGAGAGCTGACTGAAACTGCCATGGCCATGCATCCTCTAAGCCACACACATCCAGGAACAGGTGATGGCAAGCCAAACCAAGCATCTTCACATGTCTCTTTAAGGTGGGATTGACAGTCAGGGCAACAGGACTTTTAAGAGTAATTAGTAGAAAAGCCCCTAATTATAAGCTTTGGAAGACCATGCTTATACATTCCTCCAAGTATCATTTGTATTCCTTAGGTGGCCAAAATTATGAGGTGTTTTTGAGAGTATTAGAGAAACATATATGTACAAATACATCAGGATGGCAACATATCACTGTATTAAGAGAGAAAATTCACATCCGAAGTATTTAGTTTCAAATAAATAGTGATGAAATAATATGAAGTCTGCATAAACAAATCAGTCTTACTTGAAGTCTATAATGATCATTTTCTTTTTTCAACTGGTCCAATATATTATCTGTCTGATGTACAACAGCTTTCATCCTATTATATTCATCAGTCATCTTCTCCATTTCCTGTACAGACTCTTCAAGATTTTTTCTCATTTCTTGATTCTGAACTTCAATTTTCTCATTAGCTTCTGTTAAGGTCTAATAAAGTTAGACACTGTGATTACAAAATAAATATTTTAAGAAACTGAAATTTAAACTAAATTAAAATTAAGTGGAGTCATAAGTGTGTGCTGGTGGAAAGAGTTCTTTATAGTCCTTTAGGATGAATTGAATTAAGAACAATGTACATAGGATCTCAACTGCTCTTAGTACTCAAGACAGACACATATAAAAAGAACTGCAATGTCAGTGATACAATTTATTTCATGCTTTGCAAGTACACAGTGGCAGATTTATAATAAAGCATTTACATGGAGGGATAAATGTTAGATTTATATCACAATGAAATTAAAGTTTTATAAAAATATTGCTCTGAACTGACTTTTATTCATTTTACCTGAATTTCATCCAGATATTGAACAAGTTCATAGTTCTTTTTAGACAACTGTGATCGGTAGTCACTATCTTCTCCTCTTCTTGATAAAAGTGATTCTTTCTGTGAATCAATTTGTTTCTGGTAATCAATAATATCCTGACGGAGTTGTTCATTCTAAAAGTAGACCACATACAGCAGTCCATTAAGAAACTATCCAGAATAACAAAACTTTATCTTATACATAGTGATTTCAGAACATATCTTTAAATTCCCAAGGTTTCACCCTCCTTAAAGTCTCACCTTTTTCTTTAGACGTTTGTTCTCCAGAAAAGGACAGGAAAAGGATAATTAGAAATGAGAAAGGCAATACATAATTAAAAGTAATAGTTAGGAATTAAAAGCAAAAATAAAGAAATACTAGAAGAATTAAGTATATTAATTTAGATAACTAAAAATAATATTAATTATCAATAGAAACAAATAACATTTTAATTATGTTAAAAAGAACTCCTTTCAGGGTAATATGTAAACATTATTTGGCTCAGAAGAACCAAATAATCAGAATTTATAAGATTTCATGAGAAACAAAAATTTTAAAAGAATTCTGGATAAATAAGAGCAGTAAGAACAGAAATTGAGTCATATACTCAAATAACAAATTAGCAAAGAATGACCTATACAACAGAAAGCAAGATTTAGTCATACAGATCTAAGAGATGAATGTAGTACTTAAAAACCTCATATGCTGATTGATCTTTTTTCGAATTCCCTGAGACAAAGTCATATAGTAAAATCAGCCAGTTTAAGAACATTGAGTACTTACAAGATTCCACTTCTGGTTACAATAAAATTTAAACAAAGTGCTTAAGTAAGCTTCTTTGTTCAACTACCATACCACTAAATTTTTCTACCAACCTCTCTTCTTAATTTGCTGTTTTCATTTTCTGCCTCCTCATTTCGAAGAGCCAACTAAAATAGTAAAAGAAAAAAGAATAAGATAAAATTCAGCATTAATTAAATATAAAGCCAGGTTTTATAGCCTGTTGATTTAATTCTAAATCCTTTTCAATAAAGAACTTTTAACTAGTAAAGCCTTCAAATCAACCTAAGACATAAATAAGGCAATTTTTTTTAAAGGATTAGAAAAGATAAAACAGGCTAAGTTTTAAAGACTTAAACAGTTACTAAAAGCTAACAAAGAATACAAAAAACAATAAATAATCCTCCCCCCTCAAAAAAAAATCTCACAATAAAAGGAATGGTTTTCTGTCCAAGATCATATTTTGCTTTCTTCAATGTTATTACTAGAAAAAAATACTTTCCTCTTAACACTAAATTACTTAGAAAAATATAGCAGTACAACCTAACGGTTAAATGAAGCACTCTGAGTTCAGACTGGGATAGGCTTATCTTCTTTGTCTATCAATTTCTAATAAAGTATAAACAAGTCATTTAATATCTCTCCAATTCAATTTTCTCATCTCATGTGGGGACATAAAAAATAAGAGGTATATTAAGTTCTTAACAATGCTTAGTGAATGGAATAAAAAAAATATAGTGCTCTGATCTTCACATACAAATGATTTCATTTGTGACTGTTTTCTAAAAGTTTCCCCAAAGGGGTAAATATTATTATAACCATCATGGTGGTTTTTAATCACCTATTTGCCAAAAAACATTCCTCTGATCACCTTTCACTTCTCTGTTTTCTCCTTTACTCAAGAAAAAGATAGAATCACAATAGTGTGCAACCACATTTAAATGCTACAAAAAGGAACCAAGTGCCCTGTATGATCCTTGATGAAACCCTGGATAATGGAGAGTGGTAAGGAAGAGCTATGAATGATATCATATTAAGTCAAAAAAGGAAATATGATTATGGGTTAAATTAGATAATAGTACTGAATCAATATTAAATTTTCTGAGCATGAGAATTATATCATGGTTGTGTAGAATACCCTTTTTAGGAGAGATGTACTTAAATGTCTAAGTGTGAAGTACCATGATAGCAGCAATTAGCTCTGAAATGACTCAGGATAAAAAAACACAAGTAAGAGAAGGAAAAGTAGGTCTGCTTATACAAAGGTACTAACAAAATGAAAAAGTTAATGTGATACAACCAGAGGATCCATACAAGGGAAATATGGATGCTGTGTTTCTTACAATCTTTTATGAAGATATGACATTTTTCAAAATACAAGTTTAAAGACAGCGCATAATAAAATGCAAAGAGCAATGCAAATTTTAGAAGTTTGCATTATTATTATTATTATCTGAGACTAACAATCCAATTATATTTTCTATTGGAAAATTTTAATGAGAAATGCCAAGAACTTAATACTGAAGCACTTAGTGATGTTTTTCCCCCTTGACTTCTCGAACATTACACTCCTAATGGGCCTTCCTTCAAAGCACCTCTTCCTCTTTCTCCTTGCTTTACTAGACATTTGTAGGAGCTACACCTCACACTCACTTTTCTGGCTTCATAAATTATCAGTATTGAAAATCCATAAACCCTCTTCATCTGCTCAGAAGTCTTTGTTATGAATGCCTGATCCACAGATATCCCTTTTGAATATACCCATAAAGACCTAAAACTTACAAAACTGAAATCATACTATCAAATTTCCAAATTCCTCTTGTGTTCCCTCTAAGAGAATGGCACTATCTATCCAGCAGCCCAACTCACAGAATTAGGCAGACTATCCATTCCTCCCTTTCCTCTCACAATTAATCACTCAAAACATCCAATTCATCTACTTCTCTTAAATGTGTCTATGTCTCTTAATTACACCAGTTATTACCTTAATTAAGCCATCATCAGCACTTGCCTGAATTAATACAAACATTTCCTTACTAGTTTTGGCCCTCTTCAATCCACTCTACAAAGCAGAGTAAACTTTAAAGGTATAGATCTGATCATGATATACTTGTGTTCAAAATTCTTTTATTTCTTTTAAGACAATTCCTTGGGAACTGGTCCTTGTTTATCTCTTCAAATGTTCACGAGTGTTAAAAGTGGGAAGGCTGCATAGCACATTGGTTAGGAGCACAGACTATTGAATGAGACTGTCTGGATTTAAATCCTAGCTTTACTACTTATTGTCTGTGTAACCACGAGCAATTACTTACCCTTTTTACGTCTCTCAATTTCTTCATCTGTAGCATGAATGAAATGACACCTATCTCATATGGTAAGTGTCAAATGAGGAATAATGAATTAGTGCATATTAAGTACCTAACGTAGAGTCAAGACTATATGGAAGTTATTTTATCTATATTCTAGACAAAATGAATTGCAGTTCCTGAATAGGCCATTCTTATTTCTTAATTCTTGGTTTTACCAAATGCTGTGTCTTCTAACCAGAATGCTCTCTTCTTAAGTACCATGTAAATTCTCATTGCTGTTGCCACACTAGCTCCTACTACAAGTCTTAATCTACAGATTGCTTCCTGAACCTCATGACTGACTTATCTAACCCTCCACAGAGTATCCCAGAATATTCTTATTTATATCCTATTGTGTCCCCCATGTTATCACATTATCCCTGCTATAATGATTACTGATGGTGAATATCCTTGAGAATTGGTATACTGTGAATATTCAATAAAACTGAATTGACTGGTTAAAGGCAAAAAAGGAACTGCTAAAGCAATCCTTATCCATATTCTAGCTCCTAGCAGCTGGACAGGCACATAGGCCATGTAGTCATGCTTTCCAAATCTACTATACATACATATAAATACATGAATACATATGTAAATTTTACCCAAAATAAATAACAGAAAGAAAATCACTTGTCTATGAATGCCTGTTAATTTATTCATACCAATATTCAAGACCAAAGCATCAATATTATATATATAATTCCATTGCCCCCAGAAAAATGTGCCTCCAAATGTGAAGTATTAATCTCCAAGTCATATTTATTAGAAGTACCTAAATATTTACATTTTAAAGATGTGATGAAAAAAGGAAGTGATATAAAACCTCAGATAGATGTATATCATTCAACATACATACAAAGTAGATGTAACCAATAATTGTAAAAAAGTAAAATCAGATGTGTTATAACATCTTAACTTAAACAGTTAAAATTCATTGAAAAAAATGTGCCTTACTTGTTCATTAACTTTCTTTTCTTTATCCAACTCCTTTTCCATGTCCTCTAATTCTCTATCTTTTTGCTCCAATTGCTTTTCAAGTTGGCGAATTTCATCACGTAAAAACCGAGTGTCCCGACCACCTGCAGACTGCTGAGCCATCTTAAAGTAATAAACCAAAAGTACAAAGTAATTCCATTGTATTTGGGGGCTCAAACAAACCAACAAGCAAATAATCATTTTGCTTTAAATTTTCATAAATCTTTAGCACCAGATGTTTAAAATTTTATCAGCTCAGCACCATTTTTCACAAACAAATTTAGCTCATTTGAGGTTTAGTTCATAAGCTGACAATCCTTTAAGCTTTTCCTGAAAAACTGAGAACTACAAAAAACTGACTGTTAATCACTCAAGAGTCTCTATTACTCTCACAGGCGCAAGTACCAGATTAACCTGCAAAGACGTAGACAACATGCTAGGATTTATCAAAGCTTCTCCTGAGCTTGAGAGATCTGAAGCCATGCTGTAAATCAGTACAGTACCATAGTGCTCTTGACCTGCCCTCTCCCTCATATCATGGACTATTTAGACCCATGCTGTCAAACAGGACCTCCTAGCACAGTGGAAATGTTCTCTGTACTGTCCAGTTCAGTAACCATGATGTATATTTGGGTAGCATTTGAAATGTGGCTAATGCAACTAAAGAGCTGAATATTTAATTTTGACACATAAAAGTAAATGTAACAAGTGGTATTACTATATTGTTCTATATTACTTTATTGGCCAGATGTAGCTTATCTTAAAAATCTCTCAGCCAATTAAATCCATTTTGTTTCATAATCCTGTTAATTTAGGTAATGGCACAAAATATTGAATCAGTGATCACCTAATCTGTCTCATATTCACCTCTTCACCATATGGTTTTGCTATCCTTCTCCCTTAACCAAATCATTCTCACTTTTCTCCTCCTTCAAAAAGCTTTCCACTATGCTCACTAAATTCCTCTCCCAAGATAAATTACTATTATACATCCTCAGGTTCTTTACTGAATCCTCCATTCTCTTCCCCTAACTGCAATTTGACTCTTTTAGGATACTAATTCCCTTGGAACTTCTTCAACTGGAAACTGCTAATTCTTTCAGGGTCAAGAGAAGGTGTCAGTGTTCTCCTAGATTTATTCCATCCTGCAACTTCCATATTACCATTCCTGTCATTCCTCCACCATCCTGTAAAATTTCCAGGTGCTGTAAGATGACAAGCCATCTAGCTATACCATCCCCATTAACTCACAATAACACCAAGCCACCAACTTCCCAATCACCCCTTAAAATTTAGGCATGTGGTAGTTCAAGGTCTTCCATTAAAAGCCAACATAAGCAATTCCCACATCCACAGAATTTTCACTAGAGTCTTAAAAAAAAAAAAAAAGTGTTTCTTGTATCTACTACAGTTTGCTACTCCCAAACACACAAGTGATCCCTGTCAGATGATGCAGGAACATTCTCTCAATTACTCCTATTGTACCTGCTTTTAAACTCAAAAGACCTCATAATCCCTTAACTTCTCTACTTCTTCCCTATCTCGAACCTTCCCTTGTACAATTCTCAATCTTGATTCCTTAAGTATTCAGCAAGATTTTGTAATCATCTCTTCAACCACTTTCCTACCAAGATGTTAAACTGCCCTACTCTGCTATTCTAGTAGCTATCTGACTAAACAGTAACATAGAATCAGTCCAACTTTGTAAATCATTTATTATGTAAATACTTATTGAAAGTTCTTAACACTTTGGAGCTGGGCATACAGCAGGAAATAAAAAATAACTCACCTAAATTCACAGTTAAGCAAGTTAAAAGAAACAGGACTGGAACCGAAATCTGCTTGATTGTCCAGATCCCCTACTCTCTAGTCATTTTTCCACCACATTTCAAGCTTTGTCTGACATTCTTAAAATTGACCATACTATTTTCCAGTCTTGTTTTTAGTAGACAATCTCACCTACAATCTTTCAACTTTCAAGTACTAAACTTCAGTATACCTCCCTCTTCCTTCTCTCCTTCTTTCTAACACTAATTCCTTCTTATCTTTCCAGGAATCTCAATTTATTTCAATAATACAGTCATAGGTTAGCCCTCAAACTATGAGCACGCAACATTCTTGTGATTTTTTTAGCCAATAATAGAAAACTTTGAAAATAATGCAATTAAGGACAATCACACTTTAAGAAAGACAAAAGGACATACCTCTAGTTCATTTTCTAGTTTCATTACTTTCGTTTTTAATTGATTTTCTATTAAAAAAAAGATAATGTCTTAAATGGTTAGGTTTACTTGAAAACAAATTTTTAAATAAATTTCAATAAAATAACAAAATTAATTCTTTTAAAGGATTCCATCTTGATTATGAGGTAATATAAAAGAAAATAGCTATTACATACCAAATCCAAAAAACAGTACTAGAAATATCTCTCTAAATAAATTGAATGTATTTGACAAAATACACTGAATTTTATTTTCTACTGCTTAATGAATAAATGGAATATGTTAAAACTGCAACAAGCTTTTTTCTAAGCATTTACCGAATTTTGCTTGTTCTTCTCCAGCCTTTTCAACTTCTTCCAAAGCTAACTCTACTTCTTGAGCTTTCATCTAAACATTAAAAAAAAAAAAGTTACTTCAATCTACCTTTTCATTGGAATGTAAAGACTGAAAATAAAATTTTTGTTTTATTTGTTATCTCAATCCTAGTAGCCACAAAGGGTAAGCACAGGGAAATATTCAGACCATATGTGTTGAATGAATAAATGATTTTCTTACTTCATGCTATAATTTCTAGATCTGCAATAGTTTGAAACATCTTTGATTCTTCTTTTCCACTCAAGTTTCAAATCTAGTATTCTGTAATTTTTTTACTATCTTTTTTCTATTCCAATTGTTATTACTGTAGTACATAATTCTGTCTCAACTCTCATTTTATGGCTAATTAGCTCCAATTTCCTTCAAATTCATCCTATGTAACATATCCAGTTTTGCCTTCCTAAGGCATACTTTTGTATCTCTTATGATTCAAAATCTGTTACTGGCTCCTCAATTGTTGATAACACAAAATATACCTTTAAGGTCCTTGGCAGCCTACACCAAACTATCTACCCAAAATCTGTTTGTCTTCAACCCTTTATGATCTTTCTGCACTTGTTTCCTCAAATGTAAAGAATACTATCTCTAGTATTCATTTATGATAACTGCCAACTCTAGAATCCTCTTACCAGGTTACCACTGCCTTCCATTTATCTAAAACTACTTCTAAGTCTTTGGACATAGCTTTAACAACTCCCATACACATACATACATGTAATAAGTTCCTATAGTAATCATTTCTGCATTTCTCATTTGGACTTCAAGATATAGCATCTTGTGCTATTTTTAAATATAGCCCTACACATTCTTTTAGGAACTTTACATCAAAAAGTAACTACGTTTTGCACATCATTAATTCTCAATTCACATTTAAAGATATCTCATTTTGAGTGGGGATATAGGTATTACCAGGTACTTTCACAGATGACCTTCTTTAAGAAAAGATTCTTAACTTTCCTCTAAGAGTCAAAGTTACTATTAAAACCTAAAACACACAAACCTTCATTAATGACTGAGTGATTCTGAAAAGATGTATTACATTTTCTTGATTTTCATTTTTTAGTTCACTTGCTTCTACCTAATAAAGAAAAAAAAGCAACTATTTATAATCTTTAAGTGAAATATAAGAACATTTCCAGGTTGGCATTCAATGATTTCACGGGCAATTAAATTAAATTGTATGTATACAGCTATGTATTATTTATCAATTAAGCACCTTGGATAAGGAAATCAATAAATTATCTGCCAGCTCTTCTTGACGAGGCAGGTCATCTGGGTCAACTTTGAATATTTCTTTCCAGTTTATGTTGGGCGGCATCTTGTGTTCTTTCACTTTGCTCCACCTCCTGTGAGAAAACAGGCGGATATCAGCATTTCCAACACAAGCAGCATTGCTGTGGCTACAGTATCATTACAACTCTCCAACGTGTTAGCACAGAACTAAGGCTCATTAATCACAAAACAGATTATGTGTGCAAAACAGCCTTGATCAGAATTATTCCATCAGGCACAGACCATCAGATAACGAACTGGCTAAACAAAACATGACGCCCTCTTTGCTAAAGCTAATCTAGTTCAGGGTTAAGATTTTGAGTCCCCTCCCCAAATGCGCGCGAACACTTGACAGTGGCGAAGGAGCAGCGCTTGGAAAGCTGAAAATGACCCGGTTCTGAGAAGCAGGAACATGGTAGGTTTCTGTTCGTTTTTAGTGCGCAAACTAAGGAGTGAACTGATTTCAGTTGGACGGCTGAAACCACGCTGAAGGAAGAAGACCGAAGTACAAGGATTCGGAGGCTAAAAGGAGCGGGGTAGTTAGGCAGGCTGCTGCACACCGGGCCCGGGCTCAACAACCTGCGAATGAAGAAACGCGCTGCTCCCGCTTGCCCGCATCCACCCACCTAGAAGAAGCCTGGAAATCTGCGACAGTTCCTCATGTACCGCAGCCACCACGATGGGCCCCGCGGCGGCGCCGGTCCACTCCCTAGCGCCGTTCCACGAGGACTCTGGGTCCGGACAACCGGTCTTAAGCAAGCAATAGCTGCGGCCGCTGCTAAGCGACACCATTCCCCACCCAGCTAAGCCGACACAAGCTCCCGGATGCAAAGAGAGCCTACATTTCACGACCGTGGGCGATGCTTTACGTTTAGATTCCTTGCCGCGTCCTGAACTAGGTGTTAGGGGCGAAGAAAAGGCGTGGGGTGAGGACTCTATATCCCAGAGTGCAGTTCTGCCTTGCGGCTGTGCATGCTGGGAATCGAAGTCTCTGAAAATGAGCTGTAGCGCGTTCCCGGCGTGCAGTGCGGGAGACTGAGACCGTAACCGAGAGGCTTGGGAAGGACTGAGAGGCGGGAGGTGCGGTGACTGAGGTGCGCCCGCCCTGGTTGCCCGAGCTCTGGCGACCATGACTGGGGCGTCGGTGGCGTCACTCCCTGGACCGCTGTTCCTGTGGCTTCCGTAAGCCGGCCCCCGGTGGCACCGCCCTCAGGTGAGGTCGGGCTGCCGGTTAGCGGCTGGGCTGGAGTTGAGGGGAGCAGTCCGGGTTTAAGGGGAGCTCCCGCGGGTGGAGCTGAACTGGCCTGGCTCCGGTCTTGAAGAGGTGGGAGGACTCCGCCTTCTTTCCAGGTGTGTGCTAGGGGCGTCCAGTATAGTGCCTTAAGTAAGAAGGGGGTAAAGTTTGAGTCTGCTTTGATACCAGAATTCGTCTTGGGAGAGTGGAGTGGGGGCCGTCAAGTTCACGTCTTGGGGGCGAGGGAGGGATTGAGACGTCGCATCCTCGATCCCGCCCGCCCTGCCATGGCACCATTGCCTTGGCGGATTGAAATCTGCTGGGAGCTGGTGTGGAGCGAAGTCTCTGAAAGGGAAGTCAGTGTTCGTCCTAGCCTAGCCCTGAGCGAGGTGGAGAGGGAAGGGCCTCATGATTCGCCAGCCCTGCTGCTTGGTGACCCAGGCTACTTTGAGAGAAAGCCTTCGTTGGCGTTTACCACTCTTGCTCAGGCAGGTTTTGCTCGTCCCACAGCTCTCAGCCATTCTGGAGAATGACACACCTAGCTTACTTTTTTAAGAAGCTGTAGACTTGAAATCAAATGATATTTCCAACTATCTGGGCCAGTGCCTTTCATCCTTTTCTTTTTTTAAGCCCATTTTTTCTTTTCTTTTTTTTTCCTTCTTTCTGTAATTCACGGATTTTCCTTTTTAAAAAAAAAAAAAACAGATTTCTTAGTAAACCACGCCTTTGGGTAAAACAAATAGCTCTAGCTCGTAGAAAAAATTTTAAAATACTAGTTTTTGAAATAGATTTAGAAGACATTCATTAGATGTGCTTACTCCTCTTGTGGGAAAGCTTATGTCCCAAATAAAGTTCGTTATTTAATTTCTTCATAACAATCCAGTGAAATGAGTGTTTACATTGTCCTCAGTTTTCATCAAAGTTACAAAATTGAGGGGCTGGCGGAGTGGTTTAAGTGGTAGCGTGCCTACTTAGCAAGTGTGAGGCCCTGAGTTCAAACCCCAGTACCAACAAAAAAAAAAAACAGAAATTGAGGCTTGGAGAGGTTGAGTACTGTTTTCTAATTGAACACATGTGCTGTCCTGCCTTTTCAAGCATTCAGAAAACCAATATTTGTGAAGTATTCGCTTCTCAGCCTTGCTGTTTAATTAAATTTTGCATATTATAATTTTATAACTGTTTAAGAATTTTAATTATTTCATATTCAGTGTTTTCATAAGTTGCAGAGGATAACAAGAAATTTAATACTTTTTGAGCACATATGTTATACTGTTTTTTCATTACAATTTCTGTTATCTATCAATCTTCACAAGAGATGGTTTAATGTGACAGTTTTGTAAATAGTCTTGTTACAGGAACACTTGCCTGGACCTGCTTCCTTTCTTCCCTGGGCTTTTATGAACAGTTTTATATAGCCAAAACCACTTCATAAAAAAAACTTGCCTTGTATACTTACTATCTCAGTTCTTGGTTCCATTTTATATTCCTTAGATGTTACTTCTTTTTTGCTGACTTACAAGAAAACCAATGGTAGCATATTTTTTCACCGTCTAAAATGCGTAACTCTAAGAAATTTAATATCTAATGTTTATAGTAAACGTTTTGTTTTACTTTGCTTTCAGGGAGAGGAATTAGTATGTAACATACAGATGCTTGTCTTCCTTCACCATGAGGAGACGGGAAAGATTTGTAGGAGTCACTGTGAACAAAGAATTTGCAAGCTTTCAGGCCAAAGTTTTACAAACTTTATAATAGTAATAAAATACAATAGATTATCGTTATTGTAAAGACTATCAAAATGTTAATTGGGATGACATTTTTAATTTCCCAGGACACTTGGCTTGGAGGACTTCTCTTTCCAAGCTAAATATTCCAAATGTCAATAAAGTTTTCCTGTTCCACAATTGTACTGTTAGATTGTTACAAAAAATGAGCATTCAATATAATTTTGTTTAAGAAACTGGGTTTTATGTCTCTGTAATATAGCTCATGAGTGGTCTTCATTTGCCTCAGGCTTTTGTGTACATATGTAGTGAAATCTCATTTTTGTAAGCAAACATAAATCAGTCATCCCATCCGCTATAGACTATATGTATGTGTGCATATTCTTGTGTGCCTACAAAAAGTTAGAAATTCCTACAACTAACAACACCCATCTGTTACATTGTTCCATTAATGGTCCCCAATGAATTATGTCTCCCTGTATCTATGTACTGTGTAACCTTTCCTTCTCTTCAACCTCTATCTTGCAGGTGATTTGTGTACAGAACAACTGAGCTTATAACATGAATGAGGTCCAGCCCTCTCCTTTGTTTCATATTGTACTCTTCTGGCAAATCTTTTAAACATTCTGTTATTCTGGTTCTTTTATAACCACTCCCCTACATTAATTCTGGATTTTCATCTTGTTTGATAATAATTAAAAAAAAAAAAAAACTGGGCATGGCAGCACATGCCTGTGATCCCATTACTCAGGAGACTGAGGCAGGAGAATCGAGTTCAAGGCCAATCTGGACTACATAGCAAGTCTTGTCTCTAAGAAGTAAAAAATAGTTGTACCTTTTTGCATTTGCATTTGGACTTGCCCTCCTACAGTCCTGAAATTCCCATTTAAAAATCCCAGCCTAACCTGGGATGTGACTATAAGTATCAGAGATCAGCTTTCAAAGCTGAGACTCCTGCTCTCTAAACTATCCAGGCATGTCAAGCTACAGGATAACTGTAAGTACATACGTGACCCTAGGCACAACTAATAGAAGAGCCATACATAGGTATCAGATAAAGATCCTTATATCAAAGAAATTGACTTAAAAGACTATAGGACCTGCAACTCCAAATCAGGTGACAGAAAAGTCTGATGGCTGTAATACTAAAGCAAAATTTCTTCTTTTCAGGGGAACTTCAATTTTGCTTTTAAGTGATTCAAATGTTTGGATGCAGCCCACTCAGATTATGGAAGATTATTTCCTTTAAGTGAATTGATTATAGATGTTAACTACATGTACATAATACCTTCACACCAACACCTAGATTGAATGCTACTATAGCCTAGTCAAGTTGATACATAAAACTAACCATCACCATAGTCATCAATAGCAAACATTTTTCAGTGCCATACTGTCAATGAATATTAGCACTTGATAAATCTACTTGATGTTTCTTAAATCCCACACACAAACAGTTTATAAAGGGTCAATATAAGAATTTTTAAAGATCCCCAGAGAAGTATGAGAGAAAGGGAGAAAGTTTTAATTGTGGAACATGCTTAGGAACTCAGTTGTGGAGTTTCTGAGGTTCTGCCCCAAAGAGTCCCTGTGGGAGTAAAGACTAGAGAATGGGGTAATGGATGAAAGCTGCACTTAATGAAACAATCTGGATATTACAAGATTCCAAGAAGAGAGTAAGAGTCTTCTAATAAAAGAGGATGAAACAGAGATAAAGGAAATTTCTGGTGATTTTCCTCAGTGGTATGGGCTTTGTTTTGTTCTGTTTTTGTAGTGCTGAAAATTGAACCCAGTCTGTTCATGCTAGGCAAGCACTCTACACTGAACTACATTCTCAGCTCTTAGTGGGTGTTCATTCCTCAAAAAGCCTTCAAACACCCATGAGAATCTCATCATTGTTACTTGTTTTTCTTTTTTGGTGGTGCCGAGATTTGAACTCAGGGCCGCATGCTTGCTAGGCAGACACTCTACCATTGAGCCATTTTGCTGGCCTAGCATCTCATCTTTGAATACAATGTTCAAGTAAGCTAATTTTTGCTTTCTAGTCTTCCTACATTCCGCTCTAACACTGTAGTGTCAAAAACTGTTTAATAAGAATGTAAGGTACTATCTCTAGATGAAGAAAGAAAATAGATTATATCACATTCCATAAGAAGCAACTTCTCATTTGGATGAACTCAAACCACTTTTTTAAGTAACACATAACTCAAGACTAAACTCCCTTAATTGGTTACATTTAAAACTTGGTAAACTGTTTTAATTTAAAACTGCATTTATAATTTGAATGAGTTTTTATTAAAATATCTCAAATACCTAATTTAAGCAAAAGTTTCTCAATACAATCGTGTGATTTAATGGTGTGTATGCTTTCTGAGAAATGCATCATTAGATAATGTTATTGTTTGAACATCAGTGTACTTCCACAAACTAAAGCAGCTGTGTCACAGGCAATATAATCTTACAAGACCACCATTCTGTATGTAACTTGATATTGACTGAACCTTCATGTATTACATAACTACTTTAAATTTTATAAAGCTAATAAACGTAAAACTCGCAACTCCCAAGTCCTTATAAAATTTGCAATACTATTTATAAATGTAGCTGCATTTTTACCTTTCAAATAAAACTCCTAAGTCCAGTATTATTACATACTCAATAATTACATATTAAGCAAGAGTGTAATAGTTCTTCATTTTAGTTTGCTTAAATATATCAGGTGTTCTATTAGTTACATCTTCTTAGGACCATCATTCAGGAACTTTTTTGACCTGCTTCATTGTGGACTGGTTGATAGACCTGCTTACAATGCTATCATTCTAGAGATTTCCT